ATACAAGGAATAAAACTGAGGCTGAGACACCGACTTTCAGCACACTTTTTAATTATTTGCTACGTTTTTGTTTCATTCAGTCTCAGTAGGTTGAGTATTATTAATATTGTAAACATTACCTTCATGAGAAATCTTCACTTGGTCGGGCATTTTTTCATAAACCGCCAACTCCTGAGAAAAAAGGGGGATTTTATTCAGTTGTGTGTGTGAATGTATGTAATCTGGCCTCTGGACAAAATGATCAGTTCATTGCAACACCACGTTATTGTACTGTCCGGTTAGCTTCGTTACACCAACGCGGCGCTCACACTCACCAATATCATTCTCGAGATTTCTTTGCAGTCTTCTTTTGTTGAAGCCCGTATTTTGAAATTCATGTCTGCGGCAGCAACAAAATCAAGGTTTTCCTCTAGCACAGTCCACACTTCGTCCTTACTTTCCTCTGCCTCAGAGAGAAATAACTACAGAAATAACTACAAACCCGCGTCTAACACACCGAATACACAGGAAATACTTCCGGTGGTGAATGTTATTCTTCAAAATAAAATAATGAAATGAATGAATAAATGAATTATTAATAACATTTCAAAATAATAACACTATTATTTTGAAATGGCCATTTAAATTAATATTAGGCGTGAAAACCATACTGCAAACCACAGAAACGTGATGATCACATTGCTCAGTGTTAATGTAGTGTTGGACCTGTGCATTTTTCCTTTTTAAAACTTTTATTTCTTCAATGTTGCTTCTGTAACTCTGGTTATGACTAACTGGAAGCAGGAATGTAACCAATTACATTTACTCAAGTACTTCCACTACATTTCAGAGGGAAGCATTGCATGTTTTACTCTGCTTATCTAACAACCATAGCTACTGGTTACTTTTAATTTTAAAAGGTTCTGAACATACAAAACACATAAATAACAAAAACATTATGACAACACTTGTGTACTTTGACTTAGTATTTTAAATGCAGAGCCTTTACTTGTAATAGTGTATTTTTATACTATAGTATTGCAACTATTTATTTAAGTACACATTAAGGGTACTTTTTTTTTGTTTAATCAAGTGTTTGTTTTCTCTTGGCTGGCTTTTACACCATTCTTGGGATTTAATCGAAGTCATAATGATGAGATGTTGGTGTCCAGATATTTGATGTTGACAACACTTAGTAAACAGTGAAAACACATCCAGATAAACAAGTTCATACAAAATCTGATTTATTTTAAAAGTAAAAAAAGACCATGAAATCAATTAGAATATAAGCTGAAGCATTACAGATCTCACAGATGGACCTCAGTTTTCATTGGGCATTAACATATTTACAGTGTCACATTTGCTCTTTATCAGTCAAGAGTTCAGATATTCCCCTTCAAACTACTCAAGAGATTACCCCTTTAAGTTCAGCCCAAACAAACCTGCGTGTTAAGCTGCAACGACATGGTAAAAAAATCTCCACCACCTTTATAAATCTCAGTGTGGTGACTGTGTGCTCGCTCCAGGAGACTCGGACCTGTCTAGCTTCATCCCTGCTTCTAGTGGGGTCGAGGAAATTGAGGTTGGTAGCACAGAGCTCTTGTTCTCCAGGGAGGAAGAGGCAGACGAGGGCAGAGATACCACAATGTACTTCTGCATAGGCCGTGAACCTGTCAGTCCAGGGCCGCCTGTAGGCTCCAGTTTTACCAAAGGCTGCAAGGTCGAAGTGGCGCTGGGAACAGTGCTAGTGACTGGTGAGGCAGACTGGGAAGAGCTGATGGTGATTACCTAGAGGGATGAAAAAAAGGAATAATGGATTTAATGGAGAGAAAATTAAGACCACCAATCTAATTATTTTTTTTATTAAAAAAATAATTTTTATTTTATTTTTGTTAGTGCTTTCTGTCTTCTTTGAATAAAAGTATAGGCACGTGAAGGTAGTGTGTGCAGAATTCGTGCAGTGGTGGCACTGGTAAAGCAAAGTTGTGAGGAGTGTAAAAAATGAAAAATCAAAGTACCTGCTGAGTTGAGGCGGCTCCTGCACTGGTTGCCATGACGATGTACTTTGTTGCCGGGGGAGATGGCTGTGATGGGGTTCCCGGTCGAGGGGACATCAGGGTGAGGGAGCTTGGAACCTTGATGATGCTGGGAGTGCGAGGCCCCACTGACCCACTTAACCCACTTTGAGAGACTGTGAGGGTCGGACGAGGCTGCAATAAAAAGAGTCATCGTTCATTATTGAACAGCTGTGTGCTGGTTTTCATCACACACATCAATATGCAATGTTTCACATTAACTCTGGACTGTAAGACTGATGTCTAAGAGGACACATAAAGGTTTTTATGGCATATTTACTTTTTATTGTTATTTAAAAAAAATAAAAATAATAATTCCATTCACATTTACCTATATTTTACCAAAAGTATTTCATCAAGTCTTAAATGTACCTGGGTGATTGTTAATGTGGTTCTGTTGACTTGCTGAGCTTGCAATGCTGCTTGAGTCCTGGCCTTCATTACATGGGAACAAAGCATGGGTCCGAGGTAACCATAGTCTGTCCGATACTGCTCCACGACGTCGGGCTGAGGTCGAATCTTGGCAATAACGCTCGCACAGTGTTTCTTTGAAAACAAAGCACATTTGCATCATGAAACCTAAGTACAGGTGAATGTCGCATTGTTTTTATGAAATGCATCAATCAGTGGGAAGCGGTCTACTTTTAAATACATAATAATTACAGAAATTAATTTGTTACCAGTAAAAGGCTTTGAACGTGGTCAGCTCCTATCTTATCAATATTGGAGACCACCGGTCCTTCCATCACTGCTTTGATGCGAGCACCCTCTACAGAAAGCCGAGGAAGGATCAACGTCTTAATCACCTACAAAAAAAAAGGACAAATTCCAGAGGTTAGGGTTGATTGAAAAGAGTAAAAACGATAAAGGCCCAAGGACAACGGAATCACACTCACATCAGGTCCTAGTTCGGCAAGTCCAGCGATGCAGCCGTAACGTGTCGTCCACTGGGTTTTATCATCTAACCAACTCTGAGGAAACATCAGTCAGTCTGGTTTATTTGTGCCAAAGTTAATATATTTAATGCCACAACTTGGACTATGTATACATACATTTCACTGTATTAACAAATCTTCTTTACCTTGATATTTTTGGTAACATAAATATACGACATAAAGACCCACCTTAGTAAAAGTCTTGGTAATACGGGACTGGATGTTGTTGGTCGTAGTACTGAAGGTTTTACAACTCTGGGCCATGAGGCGAGCAGCAAAGTCTCGTAAAGCCCAGTGGTTGTCAACATCTGGTCGCAAACACAGCTGCTTACTCACAATACAAGTCACCACAGCTGGGATGAGCTCATGCAGCTACAAATCCAGATCGAAAAAATACAACATTAGAATGAAAGTGTTTGTTCAGATTACACTCTTAAAAAAAAAATTATACAACATTTTGTTTGTTTTCCTCACTCACGTATTTCTCCAAATACAGGGTGGGGTTGTCCATCAGAGCTTTGACCATCCGCATTAAATAAATCAGTAGAGCCAAGTTGTTCTGCACCACATTGACACGAACCTTTGAGGAGAGAATAACGTTAGCACCTTAAGCAGAGCTATGCTTGGGTGTTTTATATGAGGTGAGTAATGTTTCAGAGCATTAGAAGTAGTAAGTAAGACGCTTACTCCTTCAGAAATAAATGTGCTGAATCTTGGAAGCATCTGATACAGTCCAGGATCTGTAGCAATGCTCTGTAAAGCTTCCTGAATGAGACAAACAAAAGTGACATGACAAACGAGACTAAAAAAAAACAACTATTTGATAATTAGGCAGAATTACAGTTTTTGTGTGTTTCCATTTCTTTACTTTATATCAAAACAAGAGTATGTTACATTATTACTCAGCATATATAAAACAAAGCATATATACAGACAAACAGGGAGGACTTACAGCTCTCTTAGCTTCACAGGAGCCCACACACGCTTCTGTAATTTCCTTGTAGTAGAGCTGCTGTTCCACAGACAGCTCGTGAGTGCTGCGTGGCTTCAACCTTATTAGACCCTTCTCCTTTCCTGAAAGAGACACATATAACCACAAAGGATTAGGGCGGGAAAAAGCAAGCGAGGGAGAGCAACAGGAGAAGAAAACAGAAAAGTTTAATTTAAATATAAAACAAGTTACTGACCTTTGCCATCTGCAGATGTTGCCCCCTGACCCTTGCCTTGAATACCTTCCTCCTCCTGACCAGGTTTGACAACTTTGAGTGGCTCTGTAGATTCAACCTTTTGTTGCTCTTTCGGTGCTGAAATGCAGTAAACAATGAAGTTCTTCATTCAGATATTTGGTTTTTGTGTGTTTGAGGAGAATAAACTCTAAACAAGACTCACCTGGTGGAGGATTTTCTGGGATAGAAGGCTGCACTCCCTCAATACTTAACCAGTGGGCTGTGGATTAACAAACAAGCATAGTGTACAAGCTTACAAACCATGCAATCAAAACAAGACAATGCAATATCATGGAGTGCAAAGGCATGTAGTACTGATGGTTTGGGTACCTTTGAGAGACACATCTAGTGGAACTCTGGGGAGCGGCGTGTTGATAATATCACTGAGGTCGACTTCCTTCTCTTCATAGAAATGAAGCTCTCTTCCACCACCACTTGCAAACCGAAACGGGATAAAGTCTTGCGACTGGAACCCATACAGGGGCTATAACAAGAAGGATTTGCTTAGAATTTAAAACTAGAGCAAAATACCAACTCGATGCTTTCCTTTAAATAACATCCATCAAGGGGTTTAATTAAGCAATAAAAGAAATAAATTAAAAAAAACAGTGTTCTTTAAGGTAAAGCAACCTCTCCCTTACCTCCACATTTTTTAGTTTGAGAGCATTATCTATGTCACTGGTGGTTAATTTACGTCTCTTCCCATGATGCATGAATTTAAGAGCATCCTATAAAAAAAAAAAGAAAAGAGACAAAACAGAATTCAAATATAAACCTCATATATCAGATATGACATAAGACATTCAGAGCACTTCACAGAACCACAAACACAATATCTGCTTCAATCATTGTGATTTACCTGCGCAATTTCTTTTATTCTGTAGCTGACTTCTTCACTTAAGGCTACGCAGCTTTCCTCCTGTAACTGCCCCACTCCCACAGACTCTGCCATGGCCTTCATGGACTCTGTGGGCAGGACGACCGAACATTGCTTCTGCCGACGTTCCTCCGCCATGGCTGAAAAAGTACACAGGTCTGTGAACACCTCACATGTATAAAAAGACACAACGTCTTGACCCATTATTGAAAGCCTTGATATAATTATGTGGTGGTTCAAAACTTTGTGTATGAGCCTTATTGCAGCTCATCGTCAGATATTTTTCAACAATGTGGCCCAGCTATGTATATTATATTTTATGGGACAATGACAAAAAGTCAATATTGAAAAAAACATATATGACACTTAAGATAGGGTATGTGGGAAATAACAATACACAAAGTGCAACAATGTTCTAATGAGACCAAAATGACACGACTGGTAACTAATGTTATATTTTTTTAATACTCAAACTAAGAACACCGGTGGGAACAACAACCGACTGCAAACATAAAGCCAAAGCTATGCAGGACTGCTCTCAACACAATGAAGTCCAGACCTACATATAACTGGTCTTTACACACAGTTGTATTAGTGGCAGGACTTGCATTATTATTTAGGCAGTTTAGCTAAACAGATTGGGATTGCCATTTCTACAGAAAAGATCGACTTTAAGGAAATACCTTCAACTTTGATAAGCTTAATAATTGGTATAGATTGGCAGTAAGAAGTCTTTTCTATTATCAGTGTCAAAAATCCTGATTGCATGGACTCTGTAAACAATGTAACATGAAAAGAGCTGATGACTGAGGGATGAAGAATACAAAAAAAGGATTTTTATACTTCATGTGTGTAAACAAACAGAGAGCTCTGCAGAGAGCGGGTTAACAGCCGACCACCTAACTGTATACAACACACAAACCCATCAACACTATATCCGTTCAAATACAACAAGTCCGTAACAAAATAAAACAGTGTTCATCTTAAGCCACTTACCGGCTGCTCATTTTACTACGAACTCACAGTGAGACACATTTGCTGTCTGTTAGCTTACATGCTAGTAACTTAGCTTCCGTTGACGTTTTTACCTGTGAAGTTGCCCTCTCCTTTACGAGCTCAAGCAGGAACTTGTGCGAGTAAAAACCGTCAGTGTCGAGATTTGCAACAATGATTATTTCGCAAAGCTAATGCCTCTCTACGAATATCCATGTCTCGACATAAATAACAAACTAATTCACGGGTCGCAGCTGAGAGCTCCGTTCATGAATTAGCGCTTGTATTCCGTCGCCATTTTGAGTCACGTTCCGGCTGTGATATCGCGAGAATCACATCAACATCACAACCGAGCAGCCGTTGAGCAGCCGTTGAGCAGCCGTTGACGGAAAATAACGGCACAACAAATAAAGATTTAAATGTTTTAAATGTACAAATAACCACAATTACATTTGTCATTACACCTAATTAACGGTTTCCCAGCGGAGGGTACTGTGTCTTTAAATTACACAAGTACGCTACCATGGTGTACGGAACCAATGTTGTACTCGAGTTTACGGGGGGGTGACCTTACGTTGTAGCACCGGAGGCAAATGTCAGTAACGTGGAAGGACACTGCAAGAAGCAATCATGTATCGAGCTTTATTTCGGATTGTGAGCACGGCTCGAAATCCTCCAGCCAGTGTCAACGAGTCGTGTGTGCTGCTAGTTAAATATAACACAACTACAGCTCCGGTGTTCAGGTGAGTTTGGCTGCTTTGACAGCTCATTGAGCACACAGTGAGCAACGACATTAGCTGCTCACTGGGTTGTTCGATGGGTTACTTCTGTTGAAGGAAAGGTTGACGACATTTGTGCCTTTACAACAATTGACCTTCTAAATTATTATTTATAAAAGTTGCGATAGAGAAGGGACAGCTAGCTGTTAGAGGAGTAAACCTGCGCTGACGGGGGCGGGACATTATGATTGACATATAAGCGGTGTAATGAGGGGCATCGTCACAGGTCGTCCCCATAGTAACGGTATTACTAGACCTTTTTAATTTTTTTAGACATTTTTATTTATTTATTTTTTTACTGTTTTTTCTCTCTTGTACAGTGTTTGTATTATATTATATTATTTTTTTTCATACTGTTCTTATTCTGTCTTTATACTGTTTTTTATTTTTTATTTTTTTTCTCTATCCACTTTGCTGCTGTAAGATTGTAATTTCCCCATTGTGGGACTATTAAAGGAAGGAATATCTTATCTTATCTTATTTAAAAGCTGCCGTGGTCTCTACCTCCCACCATTCATGTACAGACGGTTATGTAGAGTGTTTATACTGTGTCTGTGTGGACAGCACCACAGAGAACAGAACAGAAGTGTCATTTCTTAATTAAGAAGCAGATTTTCTACTTTGGTAGAAGAGGCGAAGAGGTGTTACTATACTCTACTATATACTCTTTATATGGGTTGCAAGGTCTAAAGAGAGAGTCTGTTGCAGCAGGTAGTAATGGATGTCAACAAGAATACCATATTGCTAAAATCTCTGCTATATGATTTTAAGACAGTATTACCTACCCCTAATAATAATTGTCATGTGTTAATATGGAACATTGTAATAATATTATTATTCAAACTCTTGTCTGATTCAGACCCCTATCACGATTAACTCTGCTTTGCTCTTAACACAGGGTTGCAAATGCAAGTGGAGTCAAAGCCCTCAGTACAAGTTCAGTCAGGCTCTGTGAAAAGAAAAATGATCTTACCTCCTCTACTCAAGATGACAAAACAAATGCAGATAAAGAAGCTGACCCAGCAGAAAGTCCAACTTTGGTTACACAGAAAGCTGAAGATGACAGCAAAGTCATCAAGATGGCCGAGCAAAGTGAGGAGCCAGTGGTGTTAAAGACAGATGATCAAGGTACCACACAACAGCAGACGGATGCTAAAAGTGAACAGGACGTGTTGAAGTCAAAACGAGTGAAGACTGATGCAGATAAGAGTGGGAAAGACAATCTCCTTGATCTTCTTAGAAGCATGTCACTGGAGGTAACTAATAAGAGGGTTTTAAGAGAGAAGCAGATGCGTCAGACTAGACCACAGTCACCGTCTCAGCAGACTGATGTAAAGGCTTCATCGAAGAGGTGAGAGGGAGTTGATCTGAGAGAATGAGGTTGCATTGGCTTGTTAAAGATCAAGTTTCTTGCAGTTTTCTGCTTTTTGACGTGTTGACTCAGCATGATGAGATGACCACACTAGTTCGTGACTGAAAACTTGTTACTTACTTCCTCCCAGTCCTGGTCTCCCTTCATCCACTGATTCAAGCATCTGTGCATCTCGCTGTGTTTTTTTAGTGGGACACTGGATGCTGAACTGGTTGCAGCTGCATCTGCTGCGGCCGCCACTCTGCCTGACCGCAGCCAGGCAGAGTCTGAGCTGCTCGCAAAACTGAGGCAGCGCAAGGACATCACTGAAGTTCAGAAGAAAGGCGACATGAGCAAACTCGGGTATGTGTCTTGTATCTTGTCTCTGGTATATAAATGTTAAAGGGATGAATATTTAAATGAACATTCTTCTGCTTTTTCATTCTGTATCATGGAAAACAAAAGACTTCACTCACATGTGATAAACATAAATCCAACTATGTTTCCTCAGAGCAATTATGGGCGACCTAAAAGTTGAAAAGAACTCCAGATTAGCCACCCGACCTTCCTCTCAGCTGGCTGACCTGATCCAATATGACGACGACGAAGGGAAAGGTTACCCACACAACACCAGAATCACTGCTAAGCTGAATGATTCTCGGATAAGGTAAATACTTTGATCACATCTTTACTCAGATAGACTCTTTGATGGAGATGGAGCATGTGTTTAATGTGTGTTTTTATGTTTTTTAGGAAGAAGGTGCTTTCAGAGAATAGACTTAAAATCTTCTCCCCCACTACTGATGAAGATGGAGTTGAAACAGTTGGTATGAAGGAGTTTAGATTTTTCTTTATAAGTCTGCTATTATTGTGACCATGTTTGCGCACAGCGGATCATTTATGGAATAGTATTTCTAGATCATTTTTGGTCCTTAAAAATATTTGATGTTGCTCAAGCAGAAGATGCCCTTTGTAGCTTTCTTCCTCTTCACCACGTTTATGCCAGTGTTCAAGTGAAGAGTGAAAGTTTTGTCTCCTTTGGGCTCTGGACACTCAAATTGACGTAATGTGGTGTTTTAACGCAAACATAATGCTGCTGTCGTATTTTCAGCACAGCCAACTCTGTGGGACATGCATTTTGCACAACAGTTGTTTAAGTTGATCAACCAACCTCCCCGCAATGGGTTTGATGAAATGATCCAGTGGACCAAAGAGGGAAAGATGTGGCAGTACCCAATCAACAATGAAGTTGGTGAGTAATGAATGTATTCTAGTTAAATATATATAGAATTAAAAACAATTATTTTGGCCGAAGGAACACAGTGACAGTGTCTTCTTGCTCTATGTTAGGTCTTGAGGAGGAAGCCAGCGTCTCATTCCACGAGCATATCTTCTTAGAGAGACACTTGGAGGAGGGTTTCCCCCGTCGGGGACCAGTGCGTCACTTCATGGAGCTGGTGGTGGCTGGTCTGTCCAAAAACCCCTACCTGACAGTCCAGCAGAAGAGGGAACACATTTCCTGGTTCAGAGACTACTTCAAGCAAAAAGAGGGTGTCCTCAAGGAGGCTGAAGTTTAACTCAACTAAACTTAAGACAATTGAATATGTTTTGTGGATAGATAAAAGCCAAGACCTGTTTACTCAGCAGGACTTTGCAACTGTGATCATCTTTACTCATACAGTTGAACAGTTGAGGTTCCAGTAGAAAGCCAGCTTGTAAGTCTTTCAGGAGGCCTGTTAGAGTGGACTGGCATTAAGTCTGCCTGTGTGTCAAACGTTATAGTATCTATTGTTTCTAAAATGTGCAGAGAAAATATAAAATGTTGCTTATACAGTTGTACAAAGTATACAATCAATATAAAGCAGCATAAGTACAGTCATGGCTATTTGCTTATTTAATTTTCTGCCATTTATCCACATCTACCACTGATCACTTGTTCACACAGGCAATTAACTGACTATAATGTGTCACTAGCGTGGTGACACACTCATGAAAAGACAGCGTCTGGGATACTGAGATAATATCAGTGTAGTTTAGTGATACACAGGCGCTATTAAGTGGTTAACTTGATTCCATTATTAATATAAAAGGTTTACTTTTGTATCAAGACACGTTTGCAGATAAGGTGGGATTAAAAACAACACTGTTAATGGACTGAGACCGTATTATATTTTTGTATTCTTTTCGTGTCAAAAATCATACAAACATCGGTGATCATGATTAATGGTGTTTTCCCAAGCAGGTGGTGAAAAAAAATAAACCGCAGCATCTAGGACCTTAGGTTAAGTTTACAGTAGGAGCGTAATGAGACCTTGAACCTCGTGCCCTTGGTGAGGGAAGTGCTTTTATAGTTAAAAACATGTTAACAATGTACTACACAGATTCTCTAAAAACACCCTCTGCAATCTATTGTCTGACAAAGTGTGGAAAATAAGAGCCTGACATTTGAGAGTGCCTCATTTCCACATTTTGTTCAATTTTCCTTAAACACAGTCATGATTGGCATGATAAGATGTTTGCAACACTTCCTCACTTGACCGTGTATGGGCCACATAAAGAATAGAAAAAGTGTTTGTGTGGAAAGACCCCTGGATCTGCACAGACATTTCTTATATTCAAATTAACCACTAGAGGGCAGCACTGGTAGCTGTGAGCTGTAGTCCCATCTAAAGTTTAGGATTTGATAACCAAAGGGGACAAGGAGGACATACAGAGAAAACAGTTATCTCTGGCGGTCCTCTGCTTTTAGGTGCTGGTAAAATATGTTAGAATTACAGGAGTAAATTACTTAATAATGAATTAATTAAGTAAATTACTTAAGAATTTGCAGTGACAGAGTTGAACAAGATGTGGTGCTGAGGTGGCACAAAGAACAGGGAGAAATAATGACAGATCACTTTCATTATATGATTATAAATCTGGTGTTAATAACTAGGAGACCTCCTGTGTTTTTGCTGACTCAGCGAAGACAGATTTGTCTAGATGGCAGAAGATTTAAACTTAACTTTTTTTGGGGGGGGTGCAGGGATAAACAACACTTACATCAATGAGAAATGCAATTGCCTTTTATAATGTGCCATAGAGGAATAAAAACATGTATTTTCATAAATAAGTGATCATTAGGCACTGACCCGGAACAGTAACAAACACGTAGACTAAGAAAACAACAACTTACCACTTAAAACAACTATACATAAACATACTAATGAGGATGTTCAATCAGACATTCATGTTGTACATCTACTCTACTCCTAAAATCAAGCAAATAACACACACAGAAAAAAAACGTAGAAACCGTACCACTCCATAAATAATTTATAAGTTTGTAAAATGTACTGTTCTTAATGTACTTGCCTTGAAGAATTCATTGTACCTTCCTTGGAGAGGGAGCCAAAATAAAGCACATCTAACTTTTAACTTTTGAATGCACAGTTTCCTGTGAGTCTGTACAGCTAATACGTTAAAGAGGCTGTGGATCTCATGCCCTCCATGAAAAATATGAAGGTGTGCTAACCAATGTAAATAAATAAATTGCAATTCAGGCGTGATTTCTAACTAAAGAGCACTTGAATGCACCGCCAAGTTGTAGAAGCGAAAAGACGGAGCCTGAGAGTGGGCCGTGAAGGCAGCATTAGACTCGGCTGTTATTACAGACAGAGCGGCAGACTCAAGAGTTGCAACTAGGCGGTGCAGGATGGTGTGAACTTCAGTGAAGACCTTTAACGAAACTGTTCTCTGACTTTTAAACTACCAAACTCTCTTCTCCTGTCCCGTCTGGCTTACTGCTGGACTTTTATTTTGTTTTGTCTCACCTTCAGATTTTTCCTTTCTCATTTATATTTATTTTGCATGTGAGCGTCTGTGTGACAGTGAGACTGACATGGCTGAGGCACCGCCACTACTGACAGCGCCGGTCGAAATAGACCCGGAATTTGAGCCTCTCTCCCGCCCGCGGTCCTGCACCTGGCCGCTGCCCAGGCCGGAGCTCAACGACCCGGCCAGCTCCAACACATCCTCCCCGGCACCGTCGGTGCAGCAGGAGCCGGGAACTAACGCCGAGTTCATCAGCAACCTCGGATTGTTAGAGGAGGACTATGAAGAGTACGCGGAGCACAAACCGCCTGTGCCCTGCAATGATTTTCAGTGTCGGGAGGGAAAGTGTGCGCATCAGCATCACCACCACCATCATCATCTTCAGCAGCCGCAGCGGCAG